CAGACTACCTGCCAACAAATAGAATTTTTTTTACGAACATACTTCACGGAAAATTCGGGATCGGTCTCTTCGGCAGTGCCCTTATGGAAGGCGCATAAGGCCACGGTGCGGGGCCATGTTATACAGCTGGCGGCGGTCCGGGAGCGGGAGCGCCGACTTTTGGAGCTTAATTCTCTCCTAGCCTCTGCGGATGCGCGTTGGAAGTCATCTCCGTCTGCGGCCCATAAACGTGCTCGGGACGCTCTGGCGACAGAATTAGACCTACTTGCCTCTTTAGAGGCGGAGCGGGCCCTGCGTTGGACCAAACACAAATTTTATTCCTGTGCTAATAAACCGGGCCCGATGCTGGCCAGGAAACTCAATTCTGTGGGGAAACCCTATAAACCGATCCGACTGTGGCTTCCCACAGGTGGATGTACTTCTAATCCCCAGCAGATTGTTTCCCGATTTTCAGACTTCCTTTCGCACCTCTACACTAAACCAGATCCCTTCCCCGTGGCTCAAGCAGAGGCATTCTTTCAAGATCTCCATCTTCCGGGATTGTCTGAGGCGGCACAGGTGGCCCTCAATGCCTGTGTTACCGTACCGGAATGCTCCAAGCCATCAAATCTTTACGGTCCACCGCGGCTCCAGGTCCTGATGGCTTCTCCGGTCTCTATTATAAGAAATTCTCGGCCCCGTTGGCACCCTTCTTGGCTGCCTATTTCAATGAGTTACGACGAGGCTCCCTGCCCTCTCCAGACGCGCTTAGAGTGCATATCTCCATGATTCCTAAGACGACCGATGATATACAGGAACCGCAAGCCTTCCGGCCCATTTCTCTTCTTAATGAAGACCTGAAGATATTGGGCAAGATTCTTAGTTCTCGTATCAATAAATATTTGCGGAGCCTGGTCCACAGGTACCAAGTGGGGTTCGTCCCTGGGAGGCAGGCAGGTGATAACGTTCATAAGGTGGTCCATCTTATACATTTTCTGCAACAGCGGAAAATCCCAGGATTCTTACTGTCCTTAGACATATATAAAGCTTTTGATTCTCTATCCTGGGAATATCTTCGGATTGCGCTGTCTCGTTGGGGTTTGGGGATTCTGTTCTTTCTTGGATCCAAGCCTTGTATTCTTCTCCATCGGCCTCTGTTAAATACGCTTGGTATTTCTCGGATCCCTTTCCTATTGGGCGAGGGACGAGACAGGGTTGCTCAATGTCCCCGGCACTCTTTGTCCTGGCACTTGAGCCGCTGGCTTTAGCACTTCGGACCGATTGCAATATATCGGGGGTTTCCTACGCAGGACAGGAGTTTAAGTTGAGCCTTTTTGCGGATGATGCCCTCCTGACTCTTACTAACCCCCTGACGACGCTTCCTAATTTGCAACGGGTTCTCGAGCGCTTCTCTTTGATTTCGTGTCTCTGTATTAACTTGGATAAGACTGTCGTTCTCAATATTACTTTGGCTTCAGATTTGGTTTTCGCGCCTACAATCCCACTTCCCTTACAAATGGGCTTCCTCTTCTCTTGAATACTTAGGCATTCGCTTGACCCCCACCTATGACTCCCTCTTTGCTGCAAACTATTATCCATTGCTCAGCTCTCTATCTTCTCTTATGCATTCCTGGCAATTTCCGCAGCTGTCTTGGATAGGGCGGGTCCATTCTGTGAAAATGACCATCCTGCTGAAATTGTTATATTATTTTCGCACTCTCCCAGTGCGGGTTCCCCCTCATTTTCTTCGGTTGCTTCAGGCGAAGTTTATGCGTTTTATCTGGGCCAATAAGCACCCCAGAGTATCCAGAAATACGCTCTTTGCTCATAGACTCCAGGGTGGTCTTGGGGTGCCTAATGTAACTAAGTATTATCAGGCGAGCCAGATTGCCCCACTGTCTATGTTGCACGCTTCCTCTGACGTCCCTCTCTGGGTCTTTCTGGAACTACCTAATTTTGCCCCTATCGCACCGTCAACGCTTCTATGGCTTCCCCTTGCCCTTCGCCCTATGGCGCTGAGCCCGATGTTGCTCCATGGCTTACAAGTCTGGGACTCGGTACGTTACTCCAGTGGCCTGATGTCACCCTTTCTGCCTTTGCTCCCAATTGTTAATAATCCTCTTTTCCCGCCGGGTTTGGATCACCCAAGGGCGTTCTCTTGGTGGGTGACTAATGGTTTTTTTTCGCAGGTGCGACACTTTTTGGTTTTTCGGTCCTTCCCCACCTGGGATTCTCTTCGGGAGTCCCGGGACGTTCCCCCGGCGGAATTTTTTTCGATATCTTCAATTGCGGCATTGGCTGCTATTGCTGCGGGGCACTTCTGCTTTCCCATACCAGAAATCTGCCTTTGAACAGCTTTGCCAGCAGCGTCCGGGCGCCCCAGGCCTTATCTCCCTTCTTTATGCAGCTTTGAACAGACGCTCGTCGCATACTTCTCTTTCATATGTTGTTCAGTGGGATCGCGACCTGGAGTGGCTGTGGATCCGGAGGACTGGAAAAAGGCCTGGTCACTCATTGCTAAATGCTCATTTAATACGACCATGCTGGAGGCAGCCTATAAGGTATTGTTTCGTTGGTATTGGGTTCCGGCTCGTTTGGCCCAGGCTAACCCTGCTTGTAGTGATCAATGTTTTCGGGGTTGTGGCCATCGTGGCGATGTCTTGCATATCTGGTGGTCATGCCCAAGACTGGTTCGTCTTTGGTCTCGTGTGTTTTGGCCTCCTTTTCACTTTGTTTCATCTCTCTATACGCCGGGATGCTCGGTATGCCTTGCTTCATTGTCCTATACCGGGCCTCTTGGCTCATCAGCAGAAGTTGGCGTCCTATTTGTTTTTATCGGCCACTAGAACAATTGCTCAGGCCTGGAAGAGTCCGTTTGTCCCTCTTCAGGGGGGTGCGGGATCGTATGACCTCTATGATGCTCAACGAACAGATGTCGAGTATATGCAATGACTCCCAACGTAAATTTTCAAAAATATGGGAACCGTGGTTGCAATATGCCTTTCCCACACTCCCTCTGGCTAGTATGGGGCTGTAATGGCGTTTGGCATTGGCGTTCTTGGACCCCTGCCCCCTCCCCCCCCCCTTTTTTTTTTCTCTTCTCTCCCTTTTTCTGTTAGTTTTTGGGTGACAGTGGACAGCTGTCTTTAGTTGTTATAATCAGAGTTTCGTTAATGTTGTTGTACCTTATGTGCCATTGATAGCCCCTGCGTGGCGTACCTTCTGCCTTGTTGGAGTTAGAGCACGGTTTCTCTATTATGTTTTTTATTATCAGTGCAATTGATAGCCCCTGTGGGGGCGTGTTTTGTTGTCTTTGTTTTATACTGCTTAAAATTAATAAAAACCATTGAAATACAAAATCAATGCCAATTTCTGCCACTATGCATTTCAAGGAGTGAAGCGCCAAAGTGATCTGGTCCAGATACCCTATATAACAACCATATAAACATCCAATACTTGCAGACCATTCAAAGTCAACACCAAGCCCTTCAAGTTCCTTTTCATGCTTTGTCTTCATTCTTTCCTGCCATCCTAAGGAATAAGCACCAAAGCAGATTATCTCTCCCAATCCCTAGGCCTCATAAACTCACTCTTATTATTAATCACTTGCCTTTTACCAGCTGTATGCCACTAACCCAACAGATTCAGGGAATACATATGTGCCATGTTTCAGTGGGCTGGCAGAATCCTAGGCTGAGAGAGAAAAACAGTTAAACAGAGCCATTGTGTAGCACTGCAAATCAGGAAGCAAAAACTGCATATGAAATGAGCATATATTCTTCCCCGAGTATATACAGTATACATATTAACCAGGTTTTACCCCATTCATGACCAGGCAACTTTTTGCTGATCAGCACTGTGCTACTTTTGTATCAAGTATTCTTTAAGTTTTTCAAAGTTTTTTTTTTAACAGTCAAAAAAACTATAAAGTCCAAGAAACACTGTGCTACTTTAACTGGCAATTACTCCGTTATACAATGCTGTACCTAAATTAAAATTATATAATTATTTTCACATAAATATAGCTTTCTTTTGGTGGTATTTGATCACCATTGGGTTTCTATGTTTGGCTATATAAATGAAAAAGGCTGAAAATGTTGAAAAAAAAAAACCCAAAACTATATTTTCTACTTTCTACTATAAAACATATCCAATAAAATAAAATTTCTTCATAAATTTAAGCCAAAATCTATTCTGCTACTTGTCTTCGTACAAAAAAAAAATCCCAATAAATGTATATTAATTGATCTGTGTGAAAGTTATAGTGTCTACAAACTGTGGTATTTATATTTGAAAACTTCTTGTTTATTTCAATCCTGATGTACTCCTGCCTATCTCTTGAGGCCCTAAATGCCAGGACAGTATAAATACCCCCAAATGACCCCTTTTTAGAAAGTAGACAGCCCAGGGTGTTTAGTAAGAGGCATGGCTAGTTTTTTGAAGTTGTAATTTTGTGACAATTGTTTAGAAAATTAATTTTTTTTTTTTTGTTTTTACGATTCTTAAAACTTTTTTTACATACTGTCACCAGTGCAGTAGTTTCATCATATGACTGGTGTGCCAGTGATCAGGGATACTGAAAAAAAAAAAAAAAAAATAAAAATATATATAGTGTATTTCAGTTTTTTTTACAATTTACATCCTGTCATCAGAGTAGTTCAGTGGTTCAGTGTCACCATAGTGACTACATAACTGGATTAAATTGTGTTTTTTACACTTTCAATTACTTACACATGAGCATCTATAAAGACTAGTTTGACCTTTCAAGGTTGGATTTCTTGAGATATCAAAGACCATGCTGGCCCTATGTCCCTTCAGATGTGCCAATGACACATAAAAAAAAATAACATAACAACTGATCAATGTGGAAATAGGTCACAATAATATATGAGGACTAATAATTTATTCTTTAATTAAAGTTTTTAGAAAAATAAATTAGGACATGCTAGAACAATAGGCAGCTTTGACTATTATCAGGTCCTTTGAGCTTTAAGGCTTTTCAAGATCTTGGACACAAGCAATTATGAGGTCACTTTCTTGTATGTAACCCGTAAGTGAGGAGCCATGGCTTGTGTGCTGGTTGCCATGGAGACGGTTTGTTCTAGTTTTCCTTCAGGGGTCAGACGGAAGGTGCGGGAAATCTGCAAAAAGAAAAAGATTGCTAGTGGAATAGTAATGGAAAATATAATCATCTACAAACAAGTATTAAAAAAGGCTACTTTCTGTGATTTCACTTGGTTGAATTTCATAGTGCTGAGACATGACCACTTGTGACCAAGAGATCTGTTAAACAAAATTCTGATAATTCTGATAATCAATTTTGTTTATCTTTGAGAGAGAAAGACATTCACACAAGTGTATTGACACATGGTAAATGCTAAGTAAAATGTACATACCTATTATGTAACAATGTAAACAAAAAACACATATCTATTTGTTATCTCTGCATTATCTAGATTAGCCATTTTCACCCAGGGTTCCATGGAACCCTAGGGTTTCTTCAGAGATTGCAAGGGCTTCCTTGAGCTGTGGCTAACTGACCACCCATTTGATGGTACCTGTATAGTTCCAGGACCAACCAAAGCCAGCATCATGATACAGATAATCTTTTTTTTGCTGTCTGCAAGGGTTGAATTCTTTTTCTACAGACCACCAATGTAAGAGGCATTTTTGCCATTGACACCTAATGAATTGGCTATACTAAGCTCCCCGGGACATAAACATTAATTTAGGGGCTCCTCAGGGGTAAAAAGATTGAGAAAGGCTATTCAAGACTATAACAAAAATGTAAAACATTTTAAAAAAGTTATGTTTTATTTGTGAAGATTATACAGATACAAACCTCATATATATTACCTTTAAAATAATATAATTTTTTGATTAATTAGAAGCTACTTTTTAAAGAAAATGTAAAAGTGCCATAAGTGCACTACAGAATCTGTCACTTTTGTTCTTACCTGCTGCACATAAGGCTCCTTGGCAAAGCTCATTCTGCTGAGTGAGTGTGAGGTCAGAGTGAGCTGTTCCCCCTGCACTTCCCCTTCTTCCACCTCCACAACACCTAAGACAGAAACAAGATTAGAAAGGTGACAAAATGTGTGTTGCCACTACATCCACTGAAGCATTTGCATTTTGCAGAGCACACTAAGGATTTAAAGGATAAGTTCACCTTTTAGACAAAAATAATAAATGCACATTTTTTTGCAGGTAAAAAAAAATGTGCATTTATTATTTTTGTTTGCAGGAGCCTGGAAAGCATTTCACCAGCGATTAGTAGATTGCTGATGTCATGCAGGTCTCCTGCAGGCCTGTCAGAATATCTGCTTGGTGTACACGATGTGCGGTCAAGCAGATATTCTGACAGGAAGCTTCAATGAACTACCATGGCACTCCACAGCATGGTAGTATTTATTGAAAACTACAAGCCCACAGCCGCTAAGGCTGTCAGGACTTGCAGTTCATTCATTCACGGAAGTCTGTGAATGAATGATGCAACCATGTGGGCGGAGCCCCGCACGGCTGCACTGTTTTCAAATTTGACAGCTAGTACAGGGAGAAGTCTCCCTGTACTATCTGTCAGAGGAAGGGGGGGTGGCGGGCAGCGTCTGCGGTTTTTGGGAACATATTACATGTTTCCCTAAAACTGGGTGGAACATGCAATATATTCCCAAAGGTGAACATATCCTTTACCATGCAATCACTTCTTCTGAGGAAATGAAGCTTTACCGGTTTCAAGTAAACTATAACAATATCCAATAATCGTGATTGGCATGGCCACTCTGTACAATAAGACATCACCATCACCTGCTTTTAAAAAGACTGGAATGCCATTATCTTCCTGAAAGTTCTTCCGCTTTTCCACAACTTCCAGTAAATTTTTAATACTAAGAGGTATTTGCTTAGGATTAGATTTTCAGTTATGCTTATTTTTATAATGAAACGCCATAGATTGTAAGCTCAAAAGAGCAGGGCCCTTGAATCCCTCGTGTTTTGTTTTGTAACTGTATTGTCTCATGTTCTGTCCCCCACTATAATGTACAGCGCTGAGCAAACCTTTTAGCCCTATATAAATATTGTATAATAATAATAATAATAATAATAATAATAATATGCACTAAAAGCAATATACAGCAACCACAATCAATACTGCCAGTATATGAAGCCCACAGGAACTCCATTCTAGACTGAGTATGGCATAGTTATAGGCAGCAATGGATATACAGCAGACCTTAGAAAATAGTGGGTGCTTTGACTTTTGATCTACATTACAATGTTCTTTTTATCTTAGCTTTAGTCTATCCTAATGTAAGTATGGGCCTAAATTTATTGTGCATGAATAATCTGCCACAGATGGAAGATCTGGCTCTGTCTGAAGAGGCAGTTAATGACTGGTTCACTAATGAAAGTGTGTATGGGCAGGTGTGAGGCTGATTGCCAGGTGTGTGTTGACCCACAAAAGGGAATCAGGCAACCCAGCCAGGGATCCCCACTTTCCAGGAGAGTCATGCTGTGGACAGACATGCAGGAATCTTGTGTCCAGGCCTGACCAACAGGCACTTTGACCAGGGTGCTGCCTGAACAGAAGGTTCTAGTCTGGGTGGAAGCAGACTGAGGGACAAAGCAGTCCGAACAGCCAAGAGTCTGTATTGTTGAACGTGACTGCATTGACCAGACTATCATCTGATGAGAAGACAGTGAAACACTGTCTATTACAGTCAGCGCTCCAATAGGCAGAGAGCGGACCAAGGTGGGCAACTCAACAGCCAGGAGGCCAAAGTGTTATGTTTTTCTGTGTCCGTGTGATGCTGATAAAACCCTGCAATGGAAAGCTTTGTGTAAAGGAAATTTTCATTTAAATAAAAATGAACAAAAAATAAAAAAAGGATGTTGATTAGTCCATACAGCTCTATGCCTAAAGCTGAATTTCACAACATTTAGCACCAAGGTCAATCCACCTAAACAGATACACTATATTGCCAAAAGTATTGGGCCACCTGCCTTTACACACACATGAACTTTAATGGCATCCCAGTCTTAGTCCATAGGGTTCAATATTGAGTTGGCCCACCCTTTGCAGCTATAACAGCTTTAAATCTTCTGGGATGGCTGTCCACAAGGTTTAGGAGTGTGTCTATGGGAATGTTTGACCATTCTTCCAGAAGCACATTTGTGAGGTCAGGCACTGATGTCGGATAAGAAGGCCTGGCTCGCAGTCTCCGCTCTAATTTATCCCAAAGGTGTTCTATTGGGTTGAGGTCAGGACTCTGTGCAGGCCATTCATGTTCCTCTACCCCAAACTCACTCATCCATGTCTTTATGGACCTTGCTTTGTGCACTGGTACGCAGTCATGTTGGAACAGGAAGGGGCTATCCCCAAACTGTTCCCACAAAGTTGGAAGCATGAAATTGTCCAAAATGTCTTGGTTTTCTGACACCTTAAGAGTTCCCTTCACTGGAACTAGGGGGCCAAGTCCAACCCCTGAAAAACATCCCCACACCATAATTCCCCCTCCACCAAAAACTTTACACTTGGCATAATGCAGTCAGGCAAGTACCGGTCTCCTGGAAACCGCCAAACCCAGACATGTCCATCGGATTGCCAGACAGAAGCATGATTCCTCACTCTAGAACACAACTCCTCTGCTCTAGAGTCCAGTGGCGCATGATGTACACCATGGCATCTGACCCTTTGCATTGCACTTGGTGATGTAAGGCTTGGATGCAGCTGCTCAGCCATGGAAACCCATTCCATGAACCTCTCTACGCACTGTTGTTGTGCTAATCTGGAGGCCACACGAAGTTTGGAAATCTTTAGCTATTGACTCTGCAGACAGTTGGCGTCCTCTGTGCACAGTGCACTTCAGCATGCGCTGACCCCGCTCTGTCGTTTTACGTGGCCTACCACTTCATGGTTGAGTTGCTGTTGTTCCCAGTTGCTTCCACTTTGTTATAATACCACTAACTGTTGGAATATTTAGTAGCAAGAAAATTTCACGGATGGACTTATTGCAGAGGTGGCAACCTATCCTGGTACCATGTTTGAATTCACTGAGCTCCTGAGAGCGACCCATTCTTTCACAAATGTTTGTAGAAGCAGTCTGCATGCCTAGGTGCTTGATTTTATATACCGGTGGCCATGGAGGAGATTGGAACACCTGAATCCAATGATTTGGAGGGGTATCCCAATACTTTTGGCACTATAGTGTATTTCAACTTTTGGTAGCAGCTGGAAGTTACTCCTCCTGACAGTTTTGTTTATGTCTTGGGAAATTTATAAGTGATACCTTTGTGCTTGAGTTCCTGGGCTTTCGCCATTAAAAATGCTGCATTTTATCTTTATTTATATCATAGAGAATGCAACAGAAGGTGCTAGAACACCCAAAATTCCAAGATGGACTAAAATATGGTGGACTAACACTTTTGGTTGGACTGACTCCTACATTTTTTTTTTAATCCTTTAGCGTGCTCCAGTGAAACTGCCAAAAGGCCTAACTATGCATTAATGTAACAAAATGCATGTACTCCAACTTCAGAGCATATAACAAAAGCTGAACTTAGTAAACCTAAAAATCCTCCCTTGCAGCGGGGGCGCACCCACCCTTGTAGCATTAACTGCATGTTTCTGTCTGGGGTAAAGCACTTTTACTTTCCAAATCGTCGGCTCCTGCAGGCTCCTCCATGCTGCTAGACCAATCCCTGCAGACTACTAATCCCTATGCTTCAGCGGTCTAAGGTCCTTTGACATCATCAAGACCATAGCCCTGAAATGGGTGTGAGGATGCTAAGGAACAGTCCACCTCTGGATAATTGGGAAGCACTCTCTGCCGGGGAAGCAAACATCAGGTGTGTAAAACTGCTTTAACTCCTCCAGATAATTAAACAAGAAGTTAACATTTTCAGCGCAGGTGTAGCTCCACTGCAAGGGAAAGTTTACAGATTTCCTGGTTTAATCTGTAACTAATAACTACCTGACTAAAATCAGAATAGCAATGTACATTTCTAAGCACTACACTATAACAGTACCTATATTTTGGGCGCATATAAATGCAACCTGGCTGGTTCCCGGTTTCACACGGATGAATCCACACTCTCTGTGCAGTGGCTTCCCAGTTTCAGGGTTGGAGGCACAAAACCTGCATAATAACATTACCCATACATATTATTTCACATCATATGGCGTCTAAATCCTTCATATAATAAATACAACTGTTCCTTTTTTCCAACTTTCATCTGCCATTCTGGATGCAAGTCAAATTCAACACTATTCCTCTATCATGTAATCTATATCCATACAGTGATTTATGTGGAAGAATTGGGAACAGTTATTCAATCTTGAAGAAAGAATGTCATTGCCTAAGGCAAGTAATGAGATTTTTGGTTATATTACAGAAACCTACATTGTGTAAATGGAGTCTGCTCTATGGACAAATATGATGCATACGATGAGGCAAATGCATAATCTGGAATGATGGGAGGTTGAAAACGCCATTTCTCACAGTTGTCCCTTAATGCATATGCCATGGTCGAGCAGCAGCTTTCACCAGCCACAACATGCCAGTGGCTTAGTGTTATGGAGATAAACTTGTATGTCAAACATGCTTAGAATGGTAGCACCAATATGACAGATTTGGGCTGCAGTACTGGAGCAGTGTGGAAAACACTGTTGTGAACTGTCACACAACACTATCTACCGGTATGTATGCTGGAATATGCTATCTGCAAAATGAGGTTAAAGTTTTCTCAGTAAGGCTTTCATTTGTTTTGGGCCATGTACCCGTGTAAGTTATATTAAATCAATATAACACCTGCATGTCAACACTAGAACCATGCACTATTAAAGGAAGGATCAATCAACCATTGGTGCCAGCTGTCAGAATACCCGTACAGAAGCTGTAGTATCAGACAAACTTTGTGTTTGGCTACTTCAATCTTTCAATCGAAGAATTTTGGGCAGATGGGTGGCAACAGGGCCACTCTAGGAGTGAATTTCAGCCGGTTCATCAGGAACTAGCTGAAATTTGCATAATCTATGGAAGATAATGACAATGTATAAATCAGCGATAATATTTTTTCACTATTTTAGCAAAAAGCAAATCAATCTTTTGTCTACTGGCTACTCACGTGAAATTCAGCATAGGCTGGCCAACGTGTGAAATGACCGCTTTCTCCATGTAGCAAAATGATGGTATAGTTGGAAACTCCCCCTCCCCAAGGGGATCTGACTCCCAGGTCCCCAACATCCATGCCAAAGGGGCCACGGCAGGGTTCAAAGGCGGTGCATCTGTAATTCACACAAAATATAATGTTCCCAGGCACGGTGGATAGGAAATGAGCCAATAACAGTTTTGTTTACTGGAGGTATATATTCTGAAGTCTTTGTTTAGAGAAAGCAGGCAAGTAAAAAAAATACAAAAATTGTGGTGCACTCAAAATGGTAAAGTAGTCAAAGTTCCACTGAGTACTGTCATGACCAAATTCTTCAAAAGCAATATTGTCACCAGCACATCACAAGGTCAGTTTAGAGATTTAACAAACACAGACATAAAACCAGCGTCTTCCACCTGATGAAGGGGCTGCTTATTTTAGTTTTTTAGGTTTACTCCCCCCCCCCTAAAAGATTTCAGTTTGCTGTTCTGAGTTGTACAGTTTATAGGTTACATTAAAGGTACAAAACGTTCTGGAATGATTTATCTTTGTCTCATTTTTTATATCACAGAAACCTAACATTTTAACAGGGGTGTGTAGACTTTTTATATCCCCTGTATTTCTATGACAGAGGAGACTAAAAAATACACACAGATGTACAGTACCGAAAGATGAGATCTGAGGGAAAAGACTTGTGCAGAAGCACAAACACTGAATTCATGGCATCTACCTTTAACTGAACTATACATTACACTCAGTAATATTTTCCTGGACATTCTGCTTTTAGCATAGTTGCAATGTTTTCTGACTACCTTTAGCAGTTCATTGACTTGTTGATAGGAAAAGCTCTTAAATGACTAGTATGATCCTTGTGAAAGCCTCCATGTAATCCACCTAGTGCTTCTCAAGCTATTAAGGAACAACAAATGCCAGCATGCCCTGTCTACCTGAGGCTGGGGCCTATAATTACCCACCGACACAGCCTATCCTGAAAATTTCAGCATCCTTAAAACTCACAGTAGTGACAAACAGAAATTCAGCTACCTCCTCTTCAACTCAAAGCATACGGTCTTTCAGTACTGTCACTTATAATAAAAAAAAAAAAAAAAACACATTTCATTTTCAGTCTCCAGCTGACATTTTCAAGTACATGTTTGAAACTGAATACATACTCAAATACTTTAAGTGCCTGTTTACATGAATGCATCATGTAACACGTTACTGTATTGCGGTGTCTTTCAGAATGACAACCCAATGCCACTCTAATGCACTAAGGCTTGGGTGTCAAACTGGCGGCCGTCCAGCTGTTGCCAAACTACAAGTCCCATGAGCCATTGCAAGATTGACAGTTACAAGCATGACTCCCAAAGGCAGAGGCATTATGGGACTTGTAGTTTCACAACAGCTGGAGGGCCGCCAGTTTGACACCACTGCACTAAGGCAATGATCCTGCCTTGCAGCACACAGTAGGGCATTGCATTTCACGAAAAAGGGTCTCATCCAGTTTTGGGCATGTTAGAGTGCTTCGGCATCCCATCCATTTTAATGGATTGCCTTAATGCAACACAAGTTAATATACCATAAAAGACGTTAATGGGCCATCAAAGAAGAGATACTAAAGTAGAGCAATGTCAGCTGTCACAAGTACAGAAAAGCTGTGGGTGTGGAACTACAAGACTAAGCATGCCTAGCTTGCTAACATGCACTAGTAAACACTGCAAACAAATCTTTTGCTTGTATCTTGAATTCTCATATAAAATATTTGCCAGTAAAGAGGTTATAAAAAGCTGTACACAACTAAACTATTGTTATACTAAAACTTTTAAGTAGTGGTTTGAATTTGCAGATTAAAAAAAATAAACGAAAAAAAACAAAACAAAACAAAACAGTATGCATACAGCCAGCACACATGGAGGCAAATTCCGCAGACAACTCCGCTGTATTGCAGTCTATCCTAGGCACTAATCACAAACTGCAGTGTTTCACCTGTGCTAGGATTCAAGGCCATTTCTCTTCCTTGTTCTTGTTCCAGGATATGACACCACACAGACGCAGTGCACTCTGGGATATGTGGCTTCAGGTTACCGTTCCCCAGAGCTGTCAACAATTATTGTGTAATGTCTTGGCCACTGAGAAAGCGACATTACATGAAATTCTGAAATTATTATTAGCTGAGAAAATATCCAGCTTGGTATAAATAGAACAAGCACAGGTCATAGAACGCCTTCTATACTGGAAATATGCCTATATGGACATTCTTCTGGGCAGCAATATGGCTAGGTTCACATTACTGTGGGTTTGGGGGCCACGTTTTTGTGCAGGCGTGGCAATTCACTCATTTGAATAGGATGCTGTGCCTGCTTTTCACGCAGGAAGAGGTTCCTGCAGCAGTTTCAAAATGCAGCGGCTGGGAAATCGCATGGTGCTTTTGCACCATGCAATCTCCCTGCAGTTCCTGCAAACGCTCTGTGTTTTTAGATGCATGCGTGTGCTATTAAGAATGAATGGTAGTCCTGCGTGTTTTTTAAAGAGCTGTGAGTTTTGGCTGGAGGTGGTTGTGGGAACAGCTGTGATTCCCGCACCAGCAACCACTCGCAATAGTGTGGACCAAGCCTAATGCGGGCCATACATGGTTCGATTTCCAAATGATTTTTCATCCAAAATATGGAAATGTCGTTCGCTCGGTAATCCGATGGTACCATCAATGATTTAAAAAATCGGCCAACCAAGTCATAAAGTTCACCCCATATAACAGGCAAAACTTCTGTTCCTTACAGGTCATGGCTCATGCCCATATTCTTTTTGGAAAAACGATCGTACGATTTGATCATCGAGTCGAAAATTGGTCGTTTTTCACAAATTTTCCAACATGCCCAATCACCGAAAAGGGGAGGAACCATGAAAATCGTCCGGTGCCATTGACCCACTAACAGAGCGAAAATCAGCCGATTATTCTTAGGTCCGATTTTTGGATGAAAAATCAGTCGATTTTCGACCCATGTATGGCCGGCATAAGAGACGGTGCACAGTATTACATGCTGGAGTACACTAGCTGGACTGTCACTTAAAATCTATACATGGATACATTAGTGCAGTGCAGAAGAATTACAAAATGAAAAACACAGGATTTTGAGCTCATTCACATGTGCAGTTAGGGCAGGGCAGCAGATTCCTGCAGTTGGGATAAATATACACGAACAGCAGCAGCCTGTACAATGCAATGACAGGCTGACAGGAGCCACAGCTATTTGCCACTGCTCATGTTTATGTGTACATCCAGTGGTTAGGGACAGATGTTCGGCCCTGGACACAGACAGATTGCTACCAGGATTAGACATTTGCTCATAATCATAAGTAACCACCAGATGTTCCTATACATGCGGCCTCTGCAGCTCCTGTTTGCCTGTCATTGCTTTATACAGGCTTCCTGGCTGCAGAAGTTCACATCCACCTGTGATCCCAGCCACAGGAATTTGCTGATTGTTAATGCAAGAATCTGCTGTCTGACCCTATATATGGGCTAAAACAAAGCAAAACATCACGGGATATACCAATTATAGCCCTATCTGGAACAACCATACCAACCCTGAATTGGCCAAGCTACAGCATACTACTATATGGCAAAGAGTATGGGGTGACACACCTTAAACATATCTTTGCACATGGGCAACTACTCTCCTTTGCACAACTACAGGCTAGATTTGGTATTCCTCAGAACATGTGTTTTTATTATTTGCAACTGCAGAATGGGGTGAAGACCCAGAGGTTTCTGGAGACCCAGATGTCACAAACCCCAGTCTTTGGTCTTATGCAGCAGTCTCGCTCTACAAAGTGCTTTATATCCAATTGTAATGCTATGCTTTTGGGGGAATATTTGGAGAGCTTTCCCAGCTTAGCATGTGAGAAATGGCAGGGAGATTTAGGCGATATTCCGGGAGAACAGTGGGAGGAGGCCCCAGAATCTGTATGCATGTGTTCCCTTAAAGTCCAGTGGGAGGAGTCCCCAGAATCTGTACGCATGTGTTCCCTTAAAGTCCAGTGGGAGGAGTCCCCAGAATCTGTACGCATGTGTTCCCTTAAAGTCCAGTGGGAGGAGTCCCCAGAATCTGTACGCATGTGTTCCCTTAAAGTCCAGTGGGAGGAGTCCCCAGAATCTGTACGCATGTGTTCCCTTAAAGTCCAGTGGGAGGAGGCCCCAGAATCTGTACGCATGTGTTCCCTTAATGTCCAGTGGGAGGAGTCCCCAGAATCTGTACGCATGTGTTCCCTTAATGTCCAGTGGGAGGAGTCCCCAGAATCTGTACGCATGTGTTCCCTTAATGTCCAGTGGGAGGAGGCCCCAGAATCTGTACGCATGTGTTCCCTTAATGTCCAGTGGGAGGAGGCCCCAGAATCTGTACGCATGTGTTCCCTTAATATCCAGTGGGAGGAGGCCCCAGAATCTGTACACATGTGTTCCCTTATTGTCCAGTGGGAGGAGGCCCAGAATCTGTACGCATGTGTTCCCTTAATGTCCAGTGGGAGGAGGCCCCAGAATCTGTATGCATATGTTCCCTTAATTTCTCACAGCTATACATTCTACTGAGAATACATCACACTCCACTTAAGTTACACTCCATGGGCATACGCCTAGATTCCCTGTGTACTCAAAGTAACAGAGACATAGGGAACCCAATACATTTATTAAGGTGCTGCCCAAAGCTCCACCACTACTGGGAAAGGTTTGTTGCCACGGTTATTAATGTACTTCAGGTGTCCATACCGTTGTAGCCTAAATTTTGTCTCCTGGATATCCTAGATGCTGTAATACCAGATAAGTACAGTTGAGAGGCAGCCTCCAGAGCCTTGTTTCAGGCCTGTAGGCTCTTACTTTTGAAGTGGACCTCCCAAGCTCCCCCTACGCTGCAGCAGTGGCTTGATGGGTATAACAATATGATATGAAAAATTGATATATAAGCATAGGGGAATTCCCTCAAAATATAATGAATTAAGAATGAATGGCACCACACACTTGCAATTTGGCATGTGTTGTGAACAGAGACTAAGGGCTAATTTACAACAGTAGCATTAGAACACTGCTCCTGGTGTGTGAGGAGAAAGGTACATTACTTATGCACTGGAGACAGCACATCACACAACT